CTTTTCTTTTCTTCTCTTCTTCTTTTCTTTCTTTCTTTCTTTCTTTCTTTCTTTCTTTCTTTCTTTCTTTCTTTCTTTCTTTCTCTCTCTCTCTCTCTCTCTCTCTCTCTCTCTCTCTCTCTCTCTTTCTTTCTTTCTTTCTTTCTTTCTTTCTTTCTTCTGGAAACAGGCAGGTCTCACTATCTTGTCCAGGCTGGCCTTGAACTTGTGATCCTTCTGCCTGAGTAGCTGGGATTACGAAGCCCAGCTTTCATGTTTTTGAGATTTAGCCTTCATCTACATCTTGGCATGTGCCCATCACTTTTATTTTTCAGGTGGGATAGTCCAGTGTGCGTGTGCAGTATACCACATTTGCTTCTCCATTTGTCGGTTCATGGCCATTAGCTGTTTCTTCTTTTAGCTAGTGTTCATAGTGCTGCCCCGAACGTTGTGCAGAACCGCTTTCAATTCCTTTGGTTATATACCCATGAGAGACCTAGCTAGGCCATTATTCCACCATACACCCTATCTCTTTCTCTCTTTAGAGATAAGGTCTTCCTATGTAGGTCAAATTGGCCTTGAAATCTTGATTCTCCTGCTTCAGCCTCCTGAGTGCTAGGATTACAGGCGTGTGCCCCAACACCTAGTTTACCACAACATTTCGCACAACACTCATGGATCCCATTTTTATGAGGTCCGCAAAGACTCTTGTTTTAGCTTCCCATTGGAATCACATGTGGAGCTGTATTTGCTTGTGTGTGTGTGTGTGTGTGTGTGTGTATGAGGAGACCAGAGGATGATCTCCGACGTCATCCTCAGGAACTGTCCTTGCTTTTTGAGACAGGGTCTCACAGTGGCCCAGAACTTGCCAAGTAACAGTCTGGCTGACTGCTGAGTCACATGGATCACCTCCCCAGTTCTGGGATTACAGGTGTACACTACTCGGCTCTTCTTTATGTGGTGTCCAGGGATGGAACTCAGGTCCTTTACAGCACTTTACAGACTGTTGTCACCCCCGCCCCACCTGTGGAACCTTAAAAACACCAAGGCTCTGGCAAGACACAATGGTGCATGCTTATAATCCCAGCACTTGGCAGACAGAGATGAAAGGACCACAAATTCAAGGCTAGCCTGGCCTACACTGTGAGTTCCAGGCCGACGTGAATTACACGACAAGACTTTGCCTCAAACACAAAACCCAAACAACAAAACAAGGGCTGTGGATGTAGCATCTAAAAGGCAGAGTGCTTTCCTGGTATGCACAAGGTCTTGGGTTCCATGCCCAGCATTGACAACTAAACAGATAAACAAAACAACAGAAAAGCCCACCAATGCTGGACTCCATCCTTGTTATAACCGGCGGCTCAGGCATTTTGAGTTCAACAAAAACTCCCCGTGGGGTCCTAATGCGCAGCCCTGGCTGGACCATCCTCCATCCTTTGCAGTCTCTCCATTAGTAACAGCTTCAATCTTCTGATACCTGGCATGCCAGTCAGCTTTCCATTGCTGTGGCAAAAACCCCTGGGCTACATAACTACTGAGGAGGAGAGGATCTGTCACGTGCCTACGGAGGATTCAGTCTGTGAGTCCTCCTTTGGGGATTCTTTGGGGTTTGGTGAAGCAGAATGTGATGGTGAGGACGCATGGCCGAGCCAAGCTACTTATTCACTTCATGGTAGCCAGGAAGAGGAGTGTGTGTGTGTGTGTGTGTGTGTGTGTGTGTGTGTGTGTGTGCCAAAGACCTAGTGTCCCTTCACAATGGCATATGCCCTGCAGCCTGACTGCCTTTCACTAGGCCCTGTCTCGGAAAGGTTTCGTCACCTCCCAATAGTGCCGCAGGCTGGGGACCTTCAGCACACGAGCTTTTAGGGGATCTTTAATCTAAACAGAGCACCTGGTGTTTGGCTTCCTATTCTGGGACATATTTCCACGTGGTTTTGAGGGATTTGTCCCTTGATGAGCTTTAATCCTGTGACAAGTGGCTGTGGAGTCCACTTCTGGCTTGGCCCAGTGTTTTCACAGCTGTCCCAAGCCGCACAGTGCACCTGTTCCTCATAGCTGTCCACACAATACAATTCGGGAGCTGAGTGACGGGATGATCTGCCTGAGGTTTAAAAAGAAGGAGCCGCAAAGGGGCTCAGAGAGACTGAAGCGGCCATCACGGGCCTGCGCGGGTCTCCACTAGGTCCTCCGAATATACGAAGATACATCATGGTTGTTGGCTTGGTGTTTCTGGGGGGACTCCTGACAGTGTGAATGGGAATGGCTCGGATTCTTTTGCCTGTTTCTAGGACCCTCTTCCTCCTCCTGGGTTATCCTGCCCAGCCTTGATGAGAAGGTTTGTGCCTGGTCTTGTTGTATCTTATTATGCTGTGTTTAGTTGGTGCCCCTTGGTGGCCTGCTCTTTTCTGGGGAGAGACATGGGGGCGGGGAGTAGATCTGGGGGAGAGGGGAGGTGGGCGGGTACTGGGAGGAGGAGAGGGAAGGGAAGCTGTGGTGCGAATGTATTGTATGAGAGAAGAATACATAAAGATTAAAGAAAAGAAGCCGGGCAGTGGTACACACCTTTAATCCCAGCACTCAGGAGGCAGAGGCAGGAGGATCTCTGAGTTCAAGGCCAGCCTGGGCTACAGAGTGAGTTCCAGGACAGCCAGGGCTACACAGAAAAACTCTGACTTGAAAAACCAAAACCAAAACCAAA